CAGTGGCTCCATGTCTTCTTGAGCAGCCTTCAGAACAGCATTCATTCGCAGGTCGAGCTTGACGCAACGACAGCTGGTGCTGATTCCGACAGGCGATCAGGACGCAAGGCCTTTGGGCAGCCATGCGATGTCAACGCCTGCTGTCGTGACATCGTTTCGTTGCTCCAGGCCGCCAAGGACAAGCATGACAAGGCAGTGTCTGCACCACTTGCTGGATTGTGACCGGTAGTCAGTCGGAATGCTACAACAGGGGCTTGTTATCATTTTTGTCCTAGATTCTTGCTGCAGTGCTGCAGGAGGAGGTGCAAATCCTTTTTCGACGTGCCTGTGTCTCTACGTAAGCCGTCCTTCGCTAGCATGGGACAGGCAAGCAAAGAAGCCGCAGACAAAGCAAACATGAAGGCGGGGAGCACGCATGCTTCCATTTAGCCGTTGTAGCATGTCCAGAGAGCAGAGTCAGTCGTCAGATTCGGATCAGCATTTATTTGCAGGCCGAGGTTGACGAAGCGAAGGCCACTGCTGTTTCATACAAGCGAGCTGGCAAGGCCTTTGGCAGCCAGGGAGTCATGATATAGTTTCTTTACTCCAGGCTGCCAGTGGTAACGAAAAGAGAGACAGTGCAGTGTCTGCACCCCTGCCACCTGGTGACAGTAGATGGTCGGAATCTGTCGGACTGCTGTGGTTTGGGGTCATTGCCAGCTTCTTCTAGCGGCAACCAGAGATCAAATGTCCAAATTACGTCGCAGAGGTTGCACGCAGGCTGAGGACACGACTGGTCTTGTTTCAACATGCAGCGGTCTACATGTAAGTGGTCCAACTCTAGCATGGGGCAGGCGAGCAAAGAAGCTGCACGCAAGGCAAAAGTGAAGGCAGGGACATGTGGCATTTGGCCGCTGTAGCATGCCCAGAAAGCAGTGGCTCCATGTCTTCTTGAGCAGCCTTCAGAGCAGCATCCATTCGCAGGTCGAGCTTGACGCAACGACAGCTGGTGCTGATTCCGACAGGCGATCAGGACGCAAGGCCTTTGGGCAGCCATGCGATGTCAACGCCCGCTGTCGTGACATAGTTTCGTTGCTCCAGGCCGCAAGGACAAGCATGACAAGGCAGTGTCTGCACCACTTGCTGGATTGTGACTGGTAGTCAGTCGGAATGCTACAACAGGGGCTTGTTATCATTTTTGTCCTAGATTCTTGCTGCAGTGCTGCAGGAGGAGGTGCAAATCCTTTTTCGACGTGCCTGTGTCTCCACGTAAGCCGTCCTTCGCTAGCATGGGACAGGCAAGCAAAGAAGCCGCAGACAAAGCAAACATGAAGGCGGGGAGCACGCATGCTTCCATTTAGCCGTTGTAGCATGTCCAGAGAGCAGAGTCAGTCGTCAGATTCGGATCAGGATTTATTTGCAGGCCAAGGTTGACGGAGCGATGGCCACTGCTGATTCATACAAGCGAGCTGGCAAGGCCTTTGGCAGCCAGGGATTTTCCAGATTCAGAGTCATGATATAGTTTCTTTACTCCAGGCTGCCAGTGGTAACGAAAAGAGAGACAGTGCAGTGTCTGCACCCCTGCTACCTGGTGACAGTAGATGGTCGGAATCTGTCGGACTGCTGTGGTTTGGGGTCATTGCCAGCTTCTTCTAGCGGCAACCAGAGATCAAATGTCCAAATTACGTCGCAGAGGTTGCACGCAGGCTGAAGCCACGACTGGTCTTGTTTCAACATGCAGCGGTCTACACTGGTCTACATGTAAGTGGTCTAACTCTAGCATGGGGCAGGCGAGCAAAGAAGCTGCACGCACGGCAAAAGTGAAGGCAGGGGCATGCGGCATTTGGCCGCTGTAGCATGCCCAGAAAGCAGTGGCTCCATGTCTTCTTGAGCAGAATTCAGAGCAGCATCCATTCGCAGGTCGAGCTTGACGCAACGACAGCTGGTGCTGATTCCGACAGGCGATCTGGACGCAAGGCCTTTGGGCAGCTATGCGATGTCAACGCCTGCTGTCGTGACATCGTTTCGTTGCTCCAGGCCGCCAAGGACAAGCATGACAAGGCAGTGTCTGCACCACTTGCTGGATTGTGACTGGTAGTCAGTCGGAATGCTACAACAGGGGCTTGTTATCATTTTTGTCCTAGATTCTTGCTGCAGGAGGAGGTGCAAATCCTTTTTCGACGTGCCTGTGTCTCTACGTAAGCCGTCCTTCGCTAGCATGGGACAGGCAAGCAAAGAAGCCGCAGACAAAGCAAACATGAAGGCGGGGAGCAGCATGTCCAGAGAGCAGAGTCAGTCGTCAGATTCGGATCAGCATTTATTTGCAGGCCAAGATTGACGGAGCGATGGCCACTGCTGATTCATACAGGCGAGCTGGCAAGGCCTTTGGCAGCCAGGGATTTTCCAGATTCAGAGTCATGATATAGTTTCTTTACTCCAGGCCGCCAGGGGTAACGAAAAGAGAGACAGTGCAGTGTCTGCACCCCTGCTACCTGGTGACAGTAGATAGTCGGAATCTGTCGGACTGCTGTGGTTTGGGATCATTGCCAGCTTCTTCTAGTGGCAACCAGAGATCAAATGTCCAAATTACGTCGCAGAGGTTGCACGCAGGCTGAAGCCACGACTGGTCTTGTTTCAGCATGCAGCGGTCTACACTGGTCTACATGTAAGTGGTCTAACTCTAGCATGGGGCAGGCGAGCAAAGAAGCTGCACGCACGGCAAAAGTGAAGGCAGGGGCATGCGGCATTTGGCCGCTGTAGCATGCCCAGAAAGCAGTGGCTCCATGTCTTCTTGAGCAGAATTCAGAGCAGCATCCATTCGCAGGTCGAGCTTGACGCAACGACAGCTGGTGCTGATTCCGACAGGCGATCAGGACGCAAGGCCTTTGGGCAGCCATGCGATGTCAACGCCGGCAGACGGAGGTTACATACAGATTGAATGGTTTCTTCGCTCCAGGTCGTCAATGACACAGAAAAGAAGGAGGAGGCAGTATGTGACAGTATGTGTAGAGCTGCTGGCTGGTGACAGTAGATGGTCGGAGTATGTCGGAACGCTGTCGTATGGGATCATTGCCCGTTGCTGCTAGCAGCAGGCAGTAGAGGCGTGGGTAGCGTGTGTCCAGAGCTCTGCATGGCAGTCGCATCAAATTTGGCCCAATCTTTGTGTTGGCGGGCACCCGGGTATATGCTAGTATAAGGCGACGGCAAGTGGCGTCTGGTCTGTCCTGCCAGGCCGCTAGCAACAAGGATGACAAGGCACGTCACTCAAAAGCTCTCTGCTCTTGTGGTTGGTGTGTACAACAGGGCTTCCCTGGAACGTGGTTATGGCATGGCGCCCCACACTCCGTGATGGTCAAAGCTGCTTTCTGGGCGAACCCGAATGCTGTACCCTTGTCGTAGATCTGCACGACAAAGTTTCCTCAACACCCGCTTTTCAAAATCTGCAGGCCCAAGCCCATGCCCTCAACCCTGAACGCAACCCTGCCAGGGTGCCTCAGGTTCATGTCCGCCTTCTGCTCGGATGGGACAGGGTTTCGGTTCAGTTCCGTTGAGACGGCATGGTTTTCAGGGTTACACCAGGGGTTTGGCAGGACAATCAAGCCTGAAGCCGTCGGCTCAGCATGCACGTAGCTGGACCGTACCCGTATCCGGCTGGCACCCAGATTTCTATGTTGAATTGACAGCTTGCCCATGGAGGGTAATGGAGCACTGCGCGTCAGAGAAGCCTGCATTCACAAAGCTTCCGAGGCCGGAGGTCTGCTGTGGGGTTTGCGGCACGGCCGTGGAGCGAAAGGGGCCGGCAGTGCTCTACTGGGGGGCGGGGCCTTTCGGAAACCCTTCTGCTTCGCTTTAATTTGCCGGGATGAAATGCAGATTCTTACCACTTGCCCTGCTTTAGATTGTGTCCGTTCCGGATGTTTGCTATTTGGTGGGGCTTTTTCTTTGACGGGCTCGTTCAGTCGTCTTATGCCGCGAGGCCATGCGAGGCCTTGTCACTGTGCGCTTTGGCGACTGCTCCTAGCGGCAAAGGATTTCTCCGAATGGCTGGTCGATGTTCCACAAAGCATGTGCAAGTTGTGGGTGCCGAAACCCCAGCCCTGAACACTACGCTGTGAGCACCGAAAATGCAATTCGGCCTCTGCACCCACACTAGAACCATCAGGGGTGGATGAATCGTTGGCCAGGTCATGCCAGGATTGCACGTCCGCGCTGTCTGCACAGCTTCTTGACCGGAAACACAAGTCAGATTTATATCGTTTAAAATCTTCACGATGGCAGAGGTGGAGTCTCGTTTCTATTGGTTTTGCGCTGAGGGCTGGGAGCTCGGTTTCGCAGTGTAACGTTTACGAGTTGACGGGGCCTAGTGTGCTCCTTGGAAGTTGAACTGTAGAGAGCAGCAGTGCCGGCTGGTAGATATCAAGTCGTATCAAGCTTAAGAGTCCAAAGGCTTGTAAGAGCACCTCTGTCGCGACTTGAATGCCCGTGTTCCGGACGGAATTCGGCTAAATGGTGGTAGTCTCAGCTTTGGACAAGGCGAAGCTTCAGCCCAAGCCCAGCTGCTGTAAGGCTCGGGCTTCGACATGCGGTTGGGGACCGTGTGTGGTGCTCCGGCTATGGTCCTCGCTGGCCGGCGAAAGTGGACATGATCAGCTTCGATGGTGCAGAGGCCTGGGGTATTCTGCCCTCAGAATCAGCACTAGACTTGATTCGAAAGAAAGCTACATGTCAGAACTCTTGCCCAAATCGTGGTGCCAAAGAAGCGCTCCAGGATTGAGTCCGGACATTATGCTGAGCTGGTTTAGGGGTCTGCTGGCTGTGCTCGGACTCCAGTTGTTGCTTGCTTGCTTGTTACTGTAGCATCTGCCTGAGCGGGTTGCCTCCGAGTTCCTTAGCTGCCTTGGAGACCAGCTGTCTTGAAGCCTCCCTTGCCCGAGTGAGCTTCAAAAATCCTGAGCTTCTTCATGAGGAGCCCCAGGCTTTTTTTGGGAAGTTCAGCTCGGCCTCTGGGCTCCCACCGTAGAGCATCCGTTCGAGCTCCAGAGTAGTCCGGTGCGTTCCCTGCGGTGTAACTCTGTCAGCCCTTGTCGCAACCCCGTTGCTTCAGGACAGGGAGCCCTATTGCGTCTCCTTCTATGGGGAGAACACCAAGGCGTGGGTCAGCGAGGCCTGTGTGTGGGGCAAGCTTTGTTCTTTCCAGGGCTTGAAAAGCTTTGTGAGCTTCTTCTCAGGGATCCAGGTTTCGGAATCAAGATTCGTGGGTGGTACATCCCAGAAGCAGGTCTTAGACTCAAAGGCGGTTGTTTTGGTTCGTGTGGGTTTGTAGGGGGGCTTCCTGCTTCGAGGCGTTGTATCACTATTCGGGTTGCGTTTCTCATGATTTAGGAATTTAGTTTTTTTTTAAATCCGCGGCTTGAGAACTCGCAGAGCAGACGGTTTTTGGTCTTCAGGGTTTGGCGGTGTCAGGGCTAGCTGCTTTCTGGGCCTTTGAACTTCAGAACTTTCGGGTTTCTGGGTTTGGGGGGTGTCTGGTGTGCGTGATATAGGAGGTTTTCGCTGTTTTGCTGTCTGGCTTTTCGGGGGGCGGCTTAGGACCAAACAGGGTCTTCTGGTTCGAGGGTTTTGCCTCTAGTGTGTTTCGGGGTGAAAGTTTTCTTGTGTGTTCAAGGGGCCTAGCGGCCCTTTTCTCCCGTCGGCGCTAGGGCTAGGGCGACACACCAACGTCGCCTAGCACAACCGCCTGCTCCATTTTGTGCGGGGTCGCGTAGCGGAGCAGTGGGTAGGTGGTGTATGGGTCTGCAAGGTAGCTGTGTGATACGGAAGAAAGACTACTACAGGGATGTATCGCATCCCCACATCACCAACCACCGCCAAGCCTACCCCACCATGCAAAGAGAATGGGATTCCACACAATGTAGCTTGATGGAGGTCGAGGCAATCGGTCCAAATGCAACTTCATTAGTCCTTGCTACACTTACCCCGCAGACTCCGTCTCCATGTCGCAGAACAAAGAGAACGGTCGCAGCAGTGATGCCTCTCCATAATTTACTCTGCTTCCTTCCGGATTGAAGCAGCTGTGCACCTTCGGTTCAGCCGTCCTGCTATGCTTCTTCCTGCCGCTGGTACTTCCTCCAATCCTTTGCCTTGCTTGGGGCCATGACCACTCCGGAGCTCCGCGCCACGCTTGTGTCTTAAACCCCCTCAATGTCGAAGGCCGTGTGTCTTTGTCGGAATGTCCTGTCGCTCTCTCTCTCTCTCTCTGTTTCGGATCTGGCGGAAATAGTTGGACCTGGGGGGTGTTCTGGGCCAGATGACGTGTCAGTCTGACTTCATGACATGCTCTTACCCCGAAGGCGTGGAAGGAAGGCGGACATCCGTGAGTTGGAAATACGCCGAACTCCAAGGACCTATACCTGCAGAAAAAACTCCGTGCCGACAAGCCCATTCTCAGCAGGAATAATGCCCCCGGCGCATCATTGTTTTATGGGCCTGTTGTCCTTTTCGATTCTTCTTGAACCCTTATTATAATCCTTCTGCCGTCACTGGTTGCCAACTTGGGTTTTGTCTTGCCGCTTCCCTTTGCTGAATCAGAAACCTCCACAGCCAGGCAAAGCTCATGTTTTGGGGGAGCATCAAGCCCTCGCGGCCGGCGAAGCGTTGGCAGCGCCGCTTCGACGTGGCTGTCGCTGCAGCTGAGGGGCCCGGCAAGTGAAGAGTGCAAAATCGAAGCTTTCAAGGCCCCCACGGGAGAAAGAGCAGCCTTTCGGCAGCATACCTATGTATGAGGTGACAAGTGTTCAACACATTTGTCTGAACTATGGGGCTTCTGGAAGTTCTTGGATTGTGTAGTAGTGCCTGCAGTCATACATTCGCAGCCTACGGTTACAGTATCTCTGCGTCCGGTGCAGTTGTCCCGAGATGGCTGCACCGAGTCGCCCGAATTCGGTCCACACCTCGCGATATCGAGCCGTGCTCGTGCTGGTTCAAGAAAGAAAGGGAAAAAAGAGCCACGATGACGACCTTCCACCTTGCAAATGACGGTGTACAATCTGGCGTACATACTCATAATCTAGAGGACGCGACGGATCAAGATAGATTTGAAGGGAAATCCGTCATGATCCCAACATGACCCCAACTGCAGAATGGTGATGGAAGTAGTGCTGGCTATGACGATCATCACAATCATGCTTCATGGTGCTGCTGGTGTGGCGACGATGAGGATTTTTGGGTAGTGGTGATGGTCATGGTGCTTCGCCAGGAGAGTTTCGAAGCGCTGTGCCTGTGCCCAGATCTTACCTGATGTGTTCTCGATGTCTCAGCACCAGCTACGGAGCCAGCATGAGGCAAAGACCACATTCTGTCATCGTCGTCGTACAAGCATCGTTGACAGCGTGTATGTTAGGGCTACATTTGCCACCTGTGGCCGCAATTGTGTTTATCATTTCTAGCTGCCACTCTGGATTTGGGGCATGTGGATTCAGTCTTACTTCCTGCTTTTGGCTTTCTTTAACACTTTCTTGTTCATGTGCTTCGGTTAGGCTTCAGGGTCCCTGTGCGCTCACTCACGGCAGCATGGCGGAAGTGGCAGCCACGGTTCGACGGCTCCTAGCAGTGGGCGGTTTCGTGCCTACCTAAGGAAGTGATGATAGTGAAGATGGGTTTCCCGCCGGGTGTTCAAGCAATTCGGAATCCCCGTACTTGCAAGTAAGCCGTTCTGACTTGGCTTTGCTTTCTTTGTTGCATCTGATCCGACAGCTTATGATTGACAAGGCTCCCCATGTGCTGGGCATAACAGGACATGGCAGCCATGATTTGGAACAGGCGACGAAACATGTTGGATTGTGCCTATATGAAAGTCCTGCAAAAGTGTGTATTCCAGAAGCCCACGGAGCTGTACAAAGCCGTGGTATGGATGTGCTCGCATGTCGGTGCACATTATTACGTGTCTGTGGATACACACATACGCTGTCACTACCATGCCCAAAGCATGTTCTGTCACATTGGGCTTTTGCCGATTTTGACAGCCACTGCAAGCCAATACCCTTTATAGAGACACCGCGCAGAATAAACAACTAGGTAGGCCAATTGATAAGTGCAGACATGCTTGAGGAGCGTACATGCAGTCCTTCACGCACGCGCACGCACACGCGCGCGCACGCCCGCCCGCATACCCGCACACACGCCCGCCCGCCCGCACGCA